AAAAAAAAATTTCAGTGTTCCTAGAAAAATGGGAACACAATAAAAAAAAGTCAAACCTTTAAACAAAGCATGACTGGGGCAGAGGGAGAGGTTCTGCAAAAGACAGAAATACAGATATAGACTCAGCAACCTCCTTCTGATCAGAAAACTCACAAATTGGGGAAAAAAGTACCGAAGGAGATTGACTAAAATAGCAATAATCGGATTGGCACAAGCAAGAGATTAAAAATCTCCTCCATCCAGAATACGGCGGGAGACTGGGAGAAGCAAAGACTTGTGCCGACACTGATGCAGAATGGATAAAAACATTGCTTGGAAAAGATAGAAAAAATTCGGAGCTTTTCCCTGTCCCTTCACTCTAATATTAGATTGCAGCTTCAGTGATCGGTGTCTTGCACCGGGAATATTGCCGCCTTAGGATCTCACTGCTTTTAGCCAAGCGGCAGGAAAGTTGTGACCATCCTCTATCCCCATCCCGCAGAAGTTTCCCCACCCGCGGCAGAGGGCAGAAGGCTCGGGGCGGGCGCTTACCTGTGCCCGCGGGTCTGGGGAAGCCGTGCCCGCGGCTCGCCAGCAGCGCCAGCACCTGCAGCGCGACCGCCAGCCCGGGGAACATGGTGCGGCCGGGGCCTGCCTCGCACGGGAGCCGCCCGCGGGAGCCGCCCGGCCCGCAGGGCGCTGTCCGGCCCGCGGTGCTGAAGCTCGGGGAAGCCGCTGCCCGGGGCTCGGCCCCTGGAACCCGTGCCCGCAGAAATGGTCGAGCCCGGCCCCGGCGGCGGCCCCGGGCACGGGGAGGAGCGGGGGGCGGGCCGGGCCCGGAGCATGCGCGGGGCCGTCGCTCCGCGGCCCGGGCAGTGGCGGCGGTCGCTCCGGAACGGCCCTGGCGGCGCCCACCAGGCCCTGACGGCACGCACCGGGCCGTGGAAACACGCACCGGGCCCTGGCGGCACCACCGGCCAGGGCAGCACCCTCCGGCTCTGGCGGCACCCACGGGGCCTTGGCGGCACCCACCGGGCCCTGACATCACCCACCGGGCCCGGGAGGCGGCGTTCCCAGCCGGGCTGACAGCGAGTGTAAAGCCGGTCGTGCACAGGCGGCCTGTGAATCACTGCCTGTCATCTGCTCAAAGCCTCTCCACGGGCTGAATTACACTGCAGTGACTCTTCTTACGACAAAGAGAGGACGTGGAGAGTTTAATTATAGCACATCTTGCTCTTTAAAATTTAGGATGTAAAAAAGCACAAATGACAATAAGCATGTAAGCTATTTCTGAGCGTTTTTAATATTAAAATTTAGCCCTTGTAGGCGCAGAACAGCAACAAATCCCCAGGGATCGGAGGAAGACATTTTCAGCAGTTCGCGGCAGAACAAAGGATTGCAGCGCTAGCGCTTTTCAGAACTACAGAAGCTGCTTCCAAAATAAATCACAGTGTTCTTTCTTCATAAAAGAGCTCATCATTCTGTAGTCACAAATGCACACATTCAGGGAGCAGACAGAAATACTTAAACATTGGAATTGTCAGTTCTTGCTGACTGCTAAAAATGGCTAAAAACTCTTATTTGAAGAGATGAAAAGGACCAGTGCTTTCACAAATGAAAAGCAGGAACGAAGCTGAACTGTTCATTCCTTTATCAATGGATATATAGACAGTACTATAGCATAAACTGTGAAGAACACACAAAAAAGAAAGATAATTAATTTAACCACAAGGACTAAAAAGAATTGCAATTTTTTCTCCTTAGCAGCCACTTTATATTATAGTCAAGCCTTTGCATATAATTTAGGTAAAATAATGCTCTAGTTTACATCAGATTCACTTCTATAAATTAGTCTTCCACATCCAGAGCAATGAAAATAAATTTCAGAAATGTACTGATAGCCCCAGAATCCTCACTTTTTACCAGGCTTGGTAATTCTTGGAGCTGAGCCATAGCTAGGAATTACAGGATATTTTGGATAAAAACCTTTTAAGCATAGTTGCATGTAAGAAAAAAACAGCCTTATTTACACATTCCTTGGTGACCTACGAGGAAAACTATTATAATAAACAGATCCTTCCCTCATTTTAGAAGCACAGAAGACAAGCAGCTTCCACAAGGAAGCATAGAGTAAGCTCCTCCCCTACCATCTTCAGCAGATGGGTATGTACAGCAACAGAAACCTACAGAATAGTGCTGATAAAGAAAAATTAAAATATCAATTGTAACTTCAATGTGGTTTTATATTCCATCCCAGTCTGGAATTAATTCAACAGTTCATTGCCTGTGTAATGTTCTCAATGTAACAAAAACGTGGACTTTGTCTCCAGGTACCCTTCCCAATGTTTGCTTCCATTCCACTCAAACATTTCTCACAATGCATCCACGTTTTCTAAACGTGCATCCATTGCTAAGACTCTACATATTTATCATTCAGTCAAAAGCACTGAACAATACAGAAGCAGTGAGTATTTTTAACTTGCTGAAAGGAAGGTGTCTGTCAAGCAGTGAGACCAGAAAAGGAGTTCTAATTAGAGACAACAGCATGAAGAAGGTGCAGGTCAAACCCATGCCTGTTTATATGATATATCCACATATGGCTTTTGGGGTATAATGATACATCTAATTGTGTTCAAATGTGTTTGTTTTGCAGGATATCCTTCTGTTTATGTGATAAGTGTTTCTGTTTCTGTGAAATCTTTTCTGCATTATTTCCAGATCCATACGGTTTATTTCCTTGGTGCTAAAGTGTCTCCTGTTTTGATAAGCCTCTCTAACAAGGAATGATGAGAATGACAGGGCAGGGCTGGGACTGACCGTGGGGAGAGAAGAGAATTCAAAACCTGCCATCCCTAAAGTTTCAGACACAAATCCTTTCCCTGTTCACAGGCACTGCCAGCCACGTACTGCAGCTGTGGGCACAGAGCTCACTGGCACTGCCTCCTCTGCTTTGGCACACTGGTCCCCCTGCTCCTTGGTGGTGCCCTGGTGAGCCTGTGTGACGTGTGACAGATAATACACAATCTCTGCTAATTATGACAAAGTAGGTTTAATCCCCACAGAAAAATGACTGGGTAAGAGTGCTGTATTTGTTTCCCATTACACCTGTTTCATTTGGCATCATTTGCATCATCTACTACTACACATTCCTTGCCCAGTGCAGAGACAACATGGTGAAGAGCACAAGCTCTTCTATTTTGGGTTCTATTTTGGCTCATACACAATCAACCCATTTTCTATTCTGGAACTCTTTATTTCCAGCGATGTGAAATGAGCCAGAAAGAACACCACTTGCCTATCAGATGCCAAGGAGAACTCAGAGGAATGGCAATTAGTGGGTTTCTTGATATGGTGAGAGCAGTTGTTATGAAGGGAAGAGAAATAACTGAAATGCAGCCTTTCAGTGTTACATCTGCAGTTGTTTTATAACAACACTTCAAAGTTTTTCCTCTAACTGATGAAAAAAGAAGGCAGATGAAAGCAGGAAAAAGGCACAACAAGCCACCTTGCCAAGTTTATGCCTAGATGGTAGACATTCCTTACTTCTGTAGATTTGCTTTCTCTACTTCATCTCATATAATGCAAATTATATACTAAATATCACAGTGCTTAAAAGGGAAAAAAGTGTTGGAACAATTACTGGTTATCTTTATGCAAGGCATTAGGTGTATCTATAATCATCTGAATGTAAGTCATGTATTTTGCACATATGTGTGCACTATGAATAGTCCTCTTGATTTCAATGCAGTCATCAACAATTAACCCTGTACATGCCTGAGGGCTTTGCTCTACGAATCATTTTACACACAGCATTTATACACCACCTAAGGCAAAGAGAAGGATTCAAGACTCTAGAACCATGAAAAATAATAATAAAAAAAAGTCAAAGCTAGTGTGTTTTGAGCATTTATTCAAGTTCCATCAACTTTATCAGCAGCACTTCCTATGGTTATTAAATGTACATTTTTGGTCTGCAAAGCTTACAAGTTTTTCATTTTTCATTACATGTTTCTGCAATGTAATGTGAAATTTTTACATGAGCAGTTCTTAACTGAAATATTCTTAACCAAGTAATTTTGTAAAGTGAACTTTAAAAACTACCAGTCCATATCTTTCATCTTAGCTTCAAGGAAATGCCCGCTTTTAATACCTTTAAAAATAGTCATCCCAGTTTGTTCCTGTTGGGCTTTTCTCTTTTTCTGATAATAAATCAATTTATAGCTTTGAAATTCAGCATGATTTTCTGTCTAGATGTATGTAGGAGAGAGCGATACCTTTTCATTGGAAACACATAGCTTGGAAATGATTGTGTCAGTTTCTTCCCCACCCTTTCTAGAAAAAGAACCCCCAAAACTACCTTTGAACTGAAATGCAAGTTCCCTAGTGAAAACCTTCCCAAGAGGACAAAACGCTACCAGGCTTGTGGGTATCACCTCAGATCAGCCCTCTGGAAGCCTCTCAGCCATTACAGACCTCCTGATGTTCTCACCCACTCTTTAAGAATAATATTTTTCATAATTGGGAGGTTTAGATTGGACATTTGGAAGAATTTCTTCACAGAAAGGATGATTAGATATTGGAACGGACTGTCCAGGGAGATGGTGAAGTCACCTGGAAGGGTTTAAGGAGAATCAGAGGCAGCATTCAGTGCCATGGTCCAGTTGACATGGTGGTGTTTGGTGGACTCAATGCCTCTGTCACCGAACCGATCCCGTGATAAGCTGCTCATTGGAACCGGCTGCAGTGTCTGTTCCGTGCTGCTGACACCGGGAGCCCGGCGGGCAGACCGGCGCTCGGGCCCCCTCCTCCCTCAGGGCAGCGCCGGTGGCGAAAGCTCCGTGCCCGCCGCACCCGCCGGGGCTGCCCCGCTCCGGTCGTGGGGCTCCAGCTCCATCTCCCGGCCCAGCCGGGCAGCGGGCGGCGCCCGGGGAGCGGCTCTTCCTCGCCTGGCCCCGCCGCCCCTCCCGGCCGGCACCGCCTCCCGCCCCGCACCGCCCCGGAAGGGGCCGCCCGGGCCCGGCTCTTCCGGGGGCGGTGGGTCCGGCATGAGCGACGTGGTGGAGCGGACGCTGAGCGCCCTGCCTGGGCTGCTGGGGCAGCACGATCCGGGTGCCGGCCCGGGCGGTGCCGGCGGCCCCGGCAGGGTATCGGCCTCCTCCCGGCTCGGCAGCCTCATCCGGAGCATCACGGCGCTCACCTCCAAGCACGTACGGGCTGCGGGGCCGGGCTTCTCTCCTTTCCCGCCCCGGGGGAGCCGCCGCGGGGCTGGGCTGGGGGCCCCGGGCGCGGCGTCTCCCCTCAGCCACGATAAAACCCCGATAAACTCCCCGTGCCTGTGGGTGGCCGCGTTCGGCTGCTCTGGGCCCGGACTGGGCGAGCACGGCCGCGGTGCTGGAGGCGAGCGGCCCCCTGAGTGTGGGGCAGCGCTGAGTGACCCTGTCTCCTCTGGTTCTTCTTTCACGTTTTGCCTGTGAAATCTATGTCAGGTTAAAACAAGTTTAATTTTTCTAGGAAGAAGAAAAATTAATCCAGCAGGAGCTAACCAGTCTGAAAGCAACAGTTTCAGCCCCCAGCACAACACTTGTAAGTTCTGTTAGTGGCTGCAGGCTTTGGAACAGCAACACCGAAGGTGAAGGATAGAGTGTTCTTAGTCTTTATCACAGCTGGATATGCAGGTTATCTGCATTATACATATTTAATCATCAGCATTAAAAAGTACCAATACGTATGGTTTTGCAGCATGGTTGAAATAGTGAGAACACTGATTTTGATGGATGTAAATAAACAGTAACAATATGAGCCTACTATCATTCTGTAGTTTCTGAAGTATTGCAGACAACAAAGCTAGGTGATGAGCTGCTTCCATCAAATAATGCTCTTTGCAGGCTGACATTGTTCTTACAATTAGTTTGTGCTTTTTAAGAAACTGTGCTTTGTTGTATGCACTGTTGTCATGTCTGAGTTTCAGGAGATGATGTATTCTGGTTTGAATAGTCCCATGAGTGAGGATTTTTGAAGGGAAAAATGAAATTTTATCTTGCATGTGGTGACAAACCGTTCTAAGTCAGGGTAGTAATTGGTAAAAAATAATTTGTGTTAACAGTGTGATCATCATAATGCTTCACATAATTAATATTTTTTATGTCAGCGTAGTTAATCTGCTGTTGATTACATGCATACTAATCAAAATAAGAACTTTTTTAGGGGGAGAATAGGGGGAGTTCTGCCTTTTTTAGTAGAACTTTAACTCTGCTTTGCAGAAGAAGTTCATGGCAAAGAAAAAATTATGAACACTGAGATTTTAGAAAATGAGTGAATTCACTTGTTTCTATGAGATAAAGTTCTCTGTTTCAGTACAGCAGTGAAGAAGAGCATAAAACATGTTGGACTTAAAATTTTCAGTAAGTTGTTTCTGGTATTTCAGAGACTGATGAAAGAATGCATGGTGAGACTCATCTATTGTGAAATGCTGGGCTATGAGTCTTCCTTTGGATACATCCACGCAATCAAACTTGCCCAGCAAGGGAACCTTCTGGAGAAGAGAGTTGGTATGTGCATGGAGCTGTAGCCTTTATAATGTTCTCAAACTCCCAGTTTTAAAGTTTTTCAGGATTTATAATTCATGTCAAATACAGCCTACTTAAAATGTTCCTCATTTTCTTGGTCTTGTTTCGTGGTCTGTTACTTTTTGGAATTATCTAAATCCTTGGCTTGTGAGATGCTCTGTGTGTGCTTGCAGCACAGAAGGCAGGGAAATGAATTTATTTGGAATCGTCAGTTCTTTCCGTGTTTTGAATTGTGACACCAGTAAGCAAATAGTTTAAGAGAATATTTGTTAAACACATCAAGCAGAAAATGAATTTCTGTCAGGATCTGGTATCTTTTCCAAGTAGTAGTGCAAGATTAGGTAAAGATGGTTCTGTCAGACATTTAAAATAGGAGCAACTGTTATCTAGCAGGGATTTTTTTCTTGGGTTTTTGTAACTGTTTGAGTTAACTCTTCTTGTGTTACAGTCTGAAAGTTTCTGTCATAAAGTTGCTTATTGCTTGAAGATAGTAATCAAGTCTGTTTTCTTTTATAGGTTACTTGGCAGTTTCTCTATTTCTACATGAAAATCATGAACTGCTGCTTCTACTTGTGAACACAGTTGTGAAGGTATAGTGCTTTTGTAAAAAAAAGAAAGTCTTGCAGGCACAGGAGAGGCCATGTGCCAGATGAGCCAGTGGGGAAGAACACCTGGTTGAACCGAGAGCTTTGGCTACAGCTTGGTGGGAGGGGCTGTGGGATGAAAAAATTGGACCAATTCTTCCCATTTTGTCACACATAAATTGATTAATTTGATTAAGCAATTACTTTGTCACAAAGTAATTGAATAATCAAATTAATCAATTATTTTGATTAGCACAGACAGGCTGAAATGGCTTTCCCTGCCTTTTTAATTTGATCTTGATGTTCTTGCTCTTGAAGCCATATTTTAAAAGCTCTTTGAGAGGAGATATGCCATAAACTTTACTTTATAAATGGCTGTGGGTGGCCTCTCTAGGGGGGTAGTTCCAGCCTTCTTGTGAAAGATTTGAGGGATCTGAGCAGAAGTCTAATGAAAGTCAGAAAGGTCTGAGCGGAAAGTCTAATGAAAAATTGACTGTGTTTTATGTCACAGGACTTGCAGAGCACTAACCTGGTGGAGGTGTGCATGGCATTAACTGTTGTCAGCCAGATCTTTCCACGGGAGATGATTCCAGCTGTCCTGCCCCTAATAGAAGACAAGCTTCAGCATTCTAAGTAGGTGTTCATTACAGAATTTTAAATAGCCTTGTACAGCTGAATAACTTAATTTTGTAGGTAGGTTTAGTATGAACTAGTGTTTCTTCTCTCAGTTGGTCTTTTCTAGTCATCACTTTTAGAAATAAATCCTCGCCTTGTGTTTTTTCTTGGATTCTTGTCTCATTTATTTACAGCTTGACTGAGTATTGAATGGATAGCAAATTTTTTCATAGCCAGTGTGGATAGGTGATTGTTAAGTGAATTTATTTGCTGGAGTCCTTTTAAGCAATATGCATGAAGAAGTGTTTGTTGAGTAGGTGGGGAAACAGATCCAGATCCTTGAACTTTGCTGACACTTTTTTCATAAAGCTCTTTAGAGAAACTGATAAAAGGGTATATGTGGATACCCTTGATTTGTTTGAATTATAGTTTACTATATCCCATAAAGAGAGGAAAATGCTATAATTATTGATTTGAAAGGGAATTGCAGAATGAATTAATTCAGTAATTTCTAGACATGTATTTTTTGGAGCTGTATGTATGACCACAGCAGATGAGTCATGGCCTATTTCATTGTTTATTTGGTGGACATTGTTTTAAATCCTCAATCTGACATCCATCCCTACTAGGCTTTAAGGCTGGCTTTGTCACTTCCTTGCTTAGGTGGTATTTGCAAAGTCATTTGTTGCCAACATGTAAAACAGGGGTTCTCATCTCTACAAATCATGATCTGGGGTCTGGCAAGTTTTTTTGTAAAGTCAGGTACTTAAAGTACACTTGTTTTGTTAATTGTAAATCTCATTTCAGGGAAATTATCCGAAGAAAAGCTGTTCAAGCTTTATACAAATTCTATCTCATTGCTCCTAATCAAGTTCAGCACATCCACGATAAGTTCAGGAAGGCTTTGTGTGACAGGGATGCTGGAGTCATGGCTGCTTCTTTGCATATTTATCTGCAAATGATTAAGGTAGGCAAAGAATTAGAAGCACAACTGAATTTGGGAGATATTTTTGTGTTTTTTATTTTAAATACACAGTGTGCTGTACAAAGGTTTTGCAGAAAAAACTCACTTGTAGTAGTTAGAAAAGTTAATTTATATAGGCATGTGTTACATTTGTTTCTGCCAGGCTTCCATTTAGCTGGGCAGATCCACTTCTTCAGGGTTTGAATGCTCAGCATTGCTGGGTCCTTAGCTAGTGGATCTGAGTCCTACAGTGGGTTAAAGGGAAATTTCCTTGTAAATGTGTCACACCTGCTCCCTGTGCAAATGTGTGAGAAAAGAGCATGGGCTTACAGGGAAGAGCATATGGGTGCTGAGGGTTGAGAGCAGAAGTCTGATTTAAAGAAATGATGCCATCAGTGCAGGTATTTTGATCTTACTCAAGTTGTGGATGATTTTTACTTTTGAGTTGTTGTATTGAAATATTTGAGTTGACTTTAATTTTCATCATGTAGGAAAACTCATCTGGATACAAGGACTTGACTGGGAGTTTTGTGACCATCCTGAAGCAGGTGGTGGGAGGAAAGCTCTCTGCTGATTTCAACTATCACAGTGTGCCAGCACCATGGTTACAAATTCAGCTTTTAAGAATTTTGGGGCTGTTGGGAAAAGATGATCCAAGGTAACCAGATTTTTCTCTGTAAGTAATAATTTGAGATAAAGTAATAGCTTGCAGCTCATAGACTGTAAGAGGCTTTCAGTGTCTAAATTCTTGCACATTTGTTTTTAACCAAAAATTAATTTCTGCAAAAGTAGTTTCTTAGCTTCTGGATTGTTTAAATGATTCTTGTGGAATATGATTAAAATGTAATTTTAATGAGACTTCTATTACAATGTTACCAAATAACTGTGAAGAGCTGGAGTAAAACTATTTTTAAGAAGCGCTGCCATTTTGTGAGGACCTGGTTGTCCATGATCCTTTTTCTGTTGACCTGTTTATTTATGCAAGCAGCAAGGGAGGTGGTTTTATTCTTGTAATATGGTAAATGTTTCTTTTAAAATTTCAAGCATCCTGTTAAATGCCATTTAGGATCATGTTATAGAGCTCTTCTGTGTTATAGCAAATTTGTGGATATGAATAATGTGTTACAGGTTTCAATAATAGCTCTGTACTGTTTGGCAAAATAAGACTACCTGCTTATTAGTGGTGCAATTAATTGTAAATATTTTCTTAAATAGGACAAGTGAATTGATGTATGATGTTCTAGATGAATCTTTAAGAAGAGCAGAGATTAATCATAATATTACATATGGTGGGTAAGGTTATTTTATGTAATTATCAATATTTGAAAAGATAGAAAATGAATAGTTGATTATGCTAAAATACTTACACAGTAGTTTTGAAAAATCTAATTATAGTCTTAACATTAATTGTATTCTCAAGTGTCCAACTAGTAAATAGTAGCACAAGTGATGCATTGCTGTACAACATTAATTTTTTATCATTAAAGTAAAACACATCTATATACAGGGAATTCTGTTTGCCTCAAAAGCCTTTATCCTGTGTTTTCATTGACCCTGCCCTTAATTACAGAGTCAGCTGCTTCATGAAAGCTTTTAGTGGACATTGCTTAAGTTGAAATAAGCAATAAAAGACAATCCTGCTGATACATCTCTGTGAGGTAGAAATGCTTCAATTTCTCTTTACTGCCCTGAGAAAGGCAATAGTGTGCAGGGACATTGTCAGTTCTTTACAGCTGAGTAGGGTTTCTCCTCTGGGCACAGTTAATAAACATTACACCCCCAGAGTTCAGTGACTGTGCTGCCTGTGGAAGGATGTCTTTGGCACACGTCTCAATTGAAAATTTCTAAAATGTAGCTGAAGGTTCATTTTGGTAGAAGTTCTTTGTTTTCTCAGTAGAGAAAGCTGGTTTTGTTGCTACTACAAAGCAAAAGGAATAGTTGCACTGGTAACTTTTTTCCTGCTAAAAAGTTGAGCAATTTATTTGTCTTTTTTCTTTGTCTTCTCCTCCCCAGGTCAGAATATCTCCCCAAAATCCCAGTTCTGATGCTCTAGAACCCTACTTTAAAAGCTATTTCACTACTAAAAAAGCCTACCACCCCAATTTTTTTATTGTTAAATAAAGCCCTGCAGATGTGCCCATGTCCCTGTGCTAATGGAATGGAAAGAAAATTGACACAGTTGAAACAATAGTGAGGGGTGAAACAGAAAAGGAACATGGCTCAAAGCCATAGATGTCTAACACTTAGATCATACCTATGTTGTAAAGCATTGTGTAAGCCTCACTTCCATAAAAAGGGGAGCTTTGGGGAAGTATTCTCTTTTAGTAAATAATAAATGAGGAAGAATTTGTCACATGTTTAGAGTATTCAGCTGATTGCTTTTGTTCTTTTAGGCAAGAACATACAAGTTATTAGGAGTTGTGCTGACTTTCAATACAAGCTATTTGCACGTGCCAAGAGTTAAGCATTAAATTTGTTTTGAGCACTTAAAGGGACAAAGTGGGCAGTTCATTACAATTTGTACAAGGACATAGAAGTCCTTTTGTTCACCTATGGCAAGCATTTTATACAACTGTAGTTGATAATCCCAGACAAAAGAAAAATGTAATTCTGAGTGATTGCTCTTTCTTATAAGAAGTTATTGGTTATGGCAGGTTTCTTACAGGTAGTTTTGTTGTGTGCTAGTCTTTCTGAGATATAGTCTGTAATGGCTAAGGAAGAGAGGGGGCTGTCTGTTGGACACTGAATTACAAGAACATCATGATTTTAAGCCCTAATTAACTTGGGAGACTAACTTGGTCTGAATCTTTGCCCAAATTGTTGCCACGAAGGAATAATTACTTTTTGTATATTGTTCAGTTTATTTCTAGATTTTTCTCAAACAACTGTACAAAGCTGTTAGGTTTTTTTTTGGTTTTGTTTCTGTTTTGATTTTTCCTTGGTTCTTTTTTTTTCAAGAATGTTCTTGGGATGATTTTAACTGTTGGTAGTAGCTAAGAAATGGTACGAGTTACCAAAAATAATTTGTCTCAAATCCTTTATAGTTGCTTGTTGGCTTACTGAAGACTGTCCCAGTCCAATACCTTGAGCAGCTGTAGGAGACTTCAAGGTTGGAAGAACTTTAAGGACAGAGAGTTGTGTGCAGGGGCTAATTAAAACATGTATGTACTAAAGGAGATAGACTTTTACCTGCTTTTCCTTATGTCAGATGGTACTGTCTGGTTAGATTCAGTGGGAGTGGGATAGCACTGCCAGTCCTTGAGGAACACTGAGCTCATTTGATTGTTAAAAATTTTGGATTATGGAAGTATTCAATACACATTAATCATGTGTCTTCTCCTCCTGCAGCCATCTTGTTTGAATGTGTCCAAACAATTTATACCATTCATCCCAAATCAGAATTACTTGAAAAGGCTGCCAAGTGCATTGGAAAATTTGTTTTGTCACCCAAAATTAATTTGAAGTACTTAGGTAAGGATGCCTGATTTTTTTCATTATGCTGTCTTTGATTTGGCCATAGTGGTAGCATTGCCTTACATCACTTGCAATCACTTTCATTCCAGGGTTAAAGGCTCTGACCTATGTTATCCAGCAGGATCCAAACCTGGCACTTCAGCACCAGATGACAATAATTGAATGTCTGGATCATCCAGATCCCATTATTAAAAGGGAGGTCAGTGAATTTCTAAATGTCAAAAATTTAGGTAATTGTTAAGGTGGGGAATAAGTTTTGTAAAATGAGCAGTGTAAAAATGTTATGTTTCCATAATTGTGAGAGAACAGTTAAAAACACAGTTAATGTGACAAGCTGTCTAGAGAAGCAGTGTATCTCATTTAAGAATAATTGCTCAGTTTGGTGTACTAAAGCTTCTTTTTTTGAGTCATCAGAACCAATTATTTCTTTGTGCTTTCTCTTTCAGACTTTAGAGCTTCTCTACAGGATTACAAATGGGCAGAATGTAATTGTCATAGTCCAGAAGATGCTTGATTACTTAAAAGAAGGCCAAGAAGAATATGCCATCATCAGCTTAGTTGGCAAAATAGCAGAACTAGCTGAGAAATATCCTTTTATTTTTCTGAACTAGCTGAGAAATATCCTTTTATTCTTCTGAAACTTTGAAGTCAGAGCTCAGGCACGTGTAGCACTGACACCTATCAAAGCATCTTTCCTGATCTTGTGAAGTAGGAAGTGTTAGAACTGTGCTTCCCATCCTTTCAAATGCAAAAGAAAGCAGATACAATAATGACTACAGTGTTTCTTGTGTTTCACTGAGAGAAGCTAATTGCACACAGATTTTGGCTTTGGAGTTTAGCATTAAAACCTTGTGTTTTAAATTCAAACTTTGAAGCCTTATACCACTGCATAGAGAGAGATGTCTCAGTGCTACTTGAAGTGCTGTTCTGTAATTGTGGGACTGATCTTCCCTGGTAGAACTCTGCATTGCTGTATGGATTTTAAGAACAGCACATTTTGATAGAAATGAAGAAAAGATTTTTTTAAAATGACATAAAAGATGAAAGTAATGATTAGGGATTTGGTATATTATGTGCATTACTGTTAGACCTGCCACTGCCTGATTTCTGTGTGTGATTTTGTCTGATATCTTGAGTTGTAAGCTTTTAATAACTGCTGCCTTATCATCCTGTTTGTACACTGCCTGGCATGGAGTACTGTACTAAAAAAAAGCTCTGCAGTATGCAAAAACAAAAGCAATAACTCTGAAATTTCTGTGCTGTTAAAAATTTCCTTTCATTAACTGTGTGTTTTCAGGACTTGTCTGAGAGAAGGCAAAAGCCAGCTTTCAAAGTTAGCAAAGGCTGATCAAAAGTGAAATATATTAAAAAAAACCAGCAAGGATTTATGTGGAGTGCTTCAAAATGTTTTTGTAAAGTTGGTAAATCAACAGCACTGCTGAAAAGGACTGTTTCTTATCATTGATCAAGTGATTCTGGGTAAACAAAAGATTATGTGGAAGCCTAGCACAGGACAAGCGTGAGCTTAAAATAGAGTAGGACAAATGTGAGCATATTGTTCCTAATGTGTGAGGCCTGCATGATCTCAGCTTTTTCAACAAAGTAACTTCAGGCTTTTCTAACTGATCACCAGTTTTCATGACATTTACAGGAAACACTTCCTGAAAGATCCAGGAATATTTCCTCTTTAGTTAGATGGACCTGGTATTTTCCCATCAGATCCCCAACTTACTGGGGAGATCACAATGGGCATTCCTCTAGAAGCACACTAAAAAACAAAGAAAATGTTATGCCTTAGCATTTAATTCCTTAACATCTGGACACATATGCCCCTAACAATGAGTGGTTCATCCAGACAATGAATGCTGTGTTCTCAGTTGGAGGTGATGTGGTGCATTCTGATATCCCAAACAACTTCCTGAGGCTGCTGGCTGAAGGTAACTCCCCACATGCTCTGAAGAATTAGACATGTCCCTTAATAATCTGGGTTTCTTTTCTTTTCTTAAAATGTACTTTGAAATATTTGATAGGATATGTTATTTGTGTTTCACAGAAACTGTGCTGTTTTCTAGGATTTGACGATGAAAAAGAAGATCATCAGCTACGGGTGTATGCAGTACAGTCTTACTTGGCATTACTTGAGGAGGAAGATAAATTGTATCCACAGAAATTCCTTCAAGTTATGAGCTGGGTAAGTTAGACACAGGTCGGAATTCCAAACACAGATTTGAGGAAACTGTCAAAGGTGATAGTGTTTTTAATAAATATTTATTAAACTTTAGTTTTCAGTCACTTTTACTTGAAGTCAAGCTAACATGCTGAAATCTATTTTAGTGACCTCTTTGGTGGATGAGGACAATTAATTTGTGGTTTGTGGAAAAGCTGATTTGCTCCCTTTTATGCAGGGATGGCTTAGCAGCCACCTGACTGAATACTGAGAGCCTTTCTGTCTCCATCCAAATTAGCCAGATGTGGTTGTGAAATGCTCTTGTAGCCCTGCAAATGGCTGGCCAGGTGCTGTGCTGATACTGGGGAAGCTTCAGCTCCCACCCAAGGGATAGGCTGCAGTTTGAGGAGGTGGTGGTTTGTCAGGGCCTAGTTATGTTTAGCTTTCTTTTCAAGACAGTTATTTGATTTTTAAAAAGCCAAAAGTTGGAGTCTGTTGAGGTGAACACAAAAGTCACTTCAACCCTTTGGCAATAGGAAACACAGCATGGTAAAGAAATAACTTGGAACATGTTTAAATAATAGTTTCTTTAATGTGAGGTGGATTTATTGTGTTGTTATTTTAATACTGTATTCCAGTTTCAAAACTGAGAGCACTGCTCTAAATGCATATTTTGTCTATTCTCTGTGAATAGGTGTTGGGAGAATATTTCAGTCTTGTTACAGATGTTGATCCAGAAGTTATTTTGACAAAGCTGCACAGCCTGCTGAAGAAGACTTTTGTTACTTCTGAAACTAAAGCGTGGATAATGGCTGCAGTCACCAAGATAGCATCCCACACTTCCTGCTCAAAAACAGTGGATGAAATAATCCAAGAACTCAGCAGCTCTCTGGATACGTGCCTGAGACAATATGCCTTTGAACTGAAGCATCTGTGTGAAGACAAAGCACTGATGAAAAGCTTGCTTCCATTTGATGCTAGTTGCAGTGACCTGGTGGTAAGACACATTCTGGGTTCTTTTTCATGAACCATCCATGGGGATGAATATTTTGGTGAAAAGGTGTTTCCAAAATGAATGGTATTTGCAGTTCTCACTGGATGCAGGTCTGCTTAAAGTGAGTTTTCAGAAACTTCTTCAGGCATGTGGGGTGAATCAAAGTGTTCTGTACTGAAAGATAAAGAACCATGGTGTTTTAGTTAAGTAAGCTGGAGTAGCTTTTAGCAAAATTATTTCATACACTGGTTTATTTTTAGTTGTCTTTTGTTTTTTTCAAAGATGAGGTAGGCCTGCCTTAGTGATACAGTACTGCTTTTGAATTTAAAGGGTTTTCCTCCTATTTAAAAACCACTGATTTAGACCATGAAATTTCCACAGTAAATGATGGAAAAGATTCTGTCTATATATCATCTTAACTGGTAGATATGGGACATGTGACATGATCCTGATTTGCTGATAAGACACCATATTTTTCTGGTAACATCTGCCTCACATAGAACAAGTATTTTCATTGCCTTTTCATTCTTTTAAATTGTGTAGGTAGATGCTTCCTTATCTTTTCTGGATGGGTTTGTGGCTGAGGGACTTGCTCATGGTGCAGCGCCATATAAACCTCATCACCAGAGACAAGAGGAGAAACTTTCTCAGGAAAAAGGTGACAGTTCACTGCATTTATTTAATACTGTTGAATTACCTGAGAAGTATTAACAGTTAAAGTGTACAGTTAATTTATCTTCTTAAAATAATAGCATCTCACTGCAGCTCTTGTCTGTAGACAAGAGCTAAGTTCAATTTAGATTTTAGTTCCACCTTTGTCTAGCTGATGTATATAGATTGTTGTTCTGTAGGTGAGAAAGTCTTACTGTAATCCTTGCTAATCTAGAGGATTTGAAATTTGTGGGGATTATTAAAGTGAAGGCCTGAGAAGTCCAGCAGTACAGAGATATGTATTTTCAGAAATAGATTTAATTCTTACTTTTTTTAATGCCTCTGTGTAATTTTAGAATTCTCTGTCTTGCAGCACTGAATTTTGAACCTTATGGATTGTCCTTTGCTTCAAGTGTGTCCTCATCTGGTGTTACTGGCAGGCAGTCCCCCACTGGTTTATCTTTTGGCTCTGATATATCTGGGAATAGTGCTGAGACGGGGCACAAAGAGTGAGTTAATTTGTGTTTGAAGTGAAGTACATTTACGCTTCTGTTCTTGTCATTATCATGGGTCTTTGTTGCTTCATTGCACAGAACTAGAAAGAGTGCAACTTGAACTTGGAAACTTTTATCACATAAGAAGAAAATCAGGTGTTGGCATCTGTGTAATAAGTAGGAAAACAGCTGATGTTTCAGACTCTTCTGCCACTTTCTTCACAGACTGCAGTTGAGTGATGGTTAATGCAGTAACACTGGGGCAGGATTGCCTGATGGTTACATTGTTTACTATTTATTCTGCCGTCTTTCTTTTTCTAAAGGTAAAAGTGAGGCTAAGGTTTGCAGTGTAAGAGGCTCCTTTTATTTTTAGTGCACTACACATTAATTCCATATCCATAGTTTCATACAAATTAATAACTTCATTTATACTCAGCTAAACTGGTATGCAATAAACCTTTCCAGAATCTTTAGATTTTACTGCTCACTCTTGTCTATCAATGCATCTAAGTAGTGAATGGTGTTTGAGTGTTGGTATGTTTTTATGAACATGTTCCTGTGGCTGATCCTGCTTTGTTTTGTTTGCCTTTTTAGGACAAATACTCTGAAACTTGAGGGAGTACGCAAGCTGTGGGGGAAAGAAGGTTACCTTCCAAAGAAAGAAAACAAAACTGGGAAAGAAAATGAGCCACAGGCAGTGCCTTGTGGCAGCCTATTAGCAGGGCAGGTGGGGGAAGCTCCTGCACTGCGGCCTGAGCAAGGTGCCAGCCTGTCTGAGGAGGACAAAGAGAAGCAGCAGTTGGCATCAACTTTGTTCATTGGGCTGGGAGCAAGTGCTGGTGTCAGCCTGGTGAGTGAGTGTTTTGAGATTTAACAGTTTAAAGTTTACATATCATCTTATTGAAAATTGTAGATACTTGTATGCAAATGGAGATCAAATTAGTGATAAGACAACCTCGTCTCCCCAAGTCATTGCAAAACTATTGAGAATGGCTTTTGCAGTGTGATATTTTATTGAAACCTGAAACAGCTTGATGAAGCAACCTCTGAGGCAGGTCTGATTTGGTAACTGGAACTTTCCTCTGTTTACATGTTGTGCTCCAAGCTGTAGTGTTAGTTTTCCTGAACAACTGTTCCTTGACCCAGCCTTGTAGAGCTGTCATCATTCATTTGGATGTAAGGCTAGAATTTGACAGCCTATGTCAAGACCATTTTAAATTTATGTATGGTAGTATGTGAAACATAAAAAAATTCACTATTAGGTAATATTTTAAGGCTGGCATCATATTAGCCAGCTCAAATTTTGGCACTTAGCACTGGTTAACCAGATACTATTTTTACTTAGTCTTTAATAAGAGCTTTTAGTTAAGAGAATCTTGAGCCATTCTTGCATTATAAGCTAATTTAGTCCTCTGTAAGAGATACAGCAAGCCCCTGGATCCATTAAAATGTTTGGAATCTCTTTGTATTTGTCATCTGTTTTGATTCCTTGGTCCTTCCTCACCTCCTCACTACATGGTTTTAACAGTAACACAGCTGGTTGCTAGGAACTTTTCCACCCATTTTTTTTCCTCTTTCCTTTTCAGATGGGCAAAGCAGACACAGCTACTCAGAAGTTCAAAAGGAAATCAAAGATAACTGAAACTCAGCAGTTGAGTGAGGAGGCATCAGACTTCCAAAACAGTGCTGCTTCCAATTTTGATCCCTTACTTGATACAGTACCTGATAATGTGGAAGACTCTGAGGGAAGTGTGCACACGGGGTTAAGGAAAGGCTCCCCTTCTTCTTCAGATACTGTAGAAGACAATTTGGCATTTGAAACACCTCAGTCTCTCAGAAAATCTGTGCTGGATGACAGAATTTCAGCTAACAGGCTGTCACAGTCATCTTTGTTTGCTGATAGCAATATTGAAATTTTTCAGCCTTCTTCAAGTGCTCAATGTGAAAGTGCCAGTGAAACACCATTGGTCCCTTCCTTACCAGAAGAACTTGAAGAGCTTCCTCACTCTGAAGTGGTGGGACTTTGTCAGAGTGATGCCTTAGCTCTGCATTTATGTAAGGTGTGGACAGATGACTCTCTGTTGCTCATTGTTTTTGTTTCAAATAAAACCACTGCTGCACTTCATGCTGTGAACTTAGTGTTTGAAGAAACAGAACACTTTCAGGTAAGAAACTTTGTTTCCATTGTATTTTAAATTCACTTGGAACTTCTTGCTTTTTGTTTGCATTTAACTATGCAGTATTTGGTTTAATGTGACAGCCATGCCTTTTTCCAAAGTATTTCCTTAAAACCTGTGGTACACCTGTTACACATAGCTTTAAAAGGAGGTGAGAGAAATCTCACTATAAAGTTGCTGTTACTGGCTATGAAAGTTAGCCTCTCACTTTTTCAGTTCACCTTGATTTTGTTTGCCTCTGTGTAATGAATATTTGTGGTTTTTCCATTCTGAATGCAAAGATTAAACCAAATGCAAACCTCACTGGTCCTGCTTGGAGTGGTATGAATGAGTTCACCTCACTGTGTAGCTTTCTTTTGTCTGGGTGTGGCTATTGTGCATTCATTTGTATTTACCTGATAGGCAAACATGATGCTTTCCTGACACCAAATTTGTGTAAGCTTCTTTCAATGCTTTTTTCAAAGACATCAGTCATGGTTCACTCTCATGCATTTAGTTGAGGGTGCAGAGGAGTTGATCAGTTTTATTTTTTTACACTGGCTACATTAGGGATTTAAATATGATTGTTAAAGGCATGTTATAGTCATAAATAAAACTTCATTTAAGTATTTGGAAGGATATTTAGGAATTGCCAATTGATTGATCTATCCACAGATTTTGCTTAAAAGAAGCACAGAATTATTAAATAACTCAGCAAGTGATAAATGGATAAAAATAATTAAGTGGATTGGTTCTTTTAGAATTGACATAATCAAGGCACTGCTAATTGATTATGGAGTCCTCTTCCATTTCTGACTTGAATCAGACTTGTCTTGGCATTGATAGAGAGTGAGCATCTCTTGTCTAGATTTTTTCTAGTAATTCCCTTAAATTCCCACCCAGACCACCACCACGGACAGAATTTCTGTTGCCAGTTTGTTTGCAGAGCCAGGGGCTGCTGAGTAATCTAGAAATTCTCCTTTTGGTTAGGGATGTTTTCTCAGCTTCTTGCTTTCAGTATATGGCTTGATGTGATGCTGCTTGCTTGTATATTAGTTTATGTTGGGACTGAGCTGCAGAATTCAGGTTCCTGGTGCAGTTCTTTAGGGCTGGCACAAGCCAATTGTCAGAGATGAATTTCACTGGTGCTGTGTATCCCATGGAATGTTTGTAGGTGTTAGTGATTGATTTATCCTTCATGAGGGCTGAGATGTGGTGGCTCTGTTCACTGGTCAAATACTCCAAGAAAAATCAGCAGAAATAAGAGGCACTTACACAGTTTTATAGCTGTATCTGAATCACTTGCACAACTTGACAGCAAGACTTACATTCTTTATTTCTTTTATGACATTATATAGATTTTGGAGAGTGCCACGTCCCATTTTCCTGTAATTGAAGCTCAGAGTGTGGAACATTGCCAGAAATGTGTGAGGATGAACAAAGTCTGTACACAGGCAATTCTTCCTGCCTCTGTTAGTTACCAGTCAGAGATGGAAACTTGCCTTGAATTTTCAGTAACTTTATCATTGATGGACTTCATCAGGTAAGTAAAATAAACTGCAGTTTTAAAAACACTTGTATACAGCTCAGTGTTAGACAAGGGCAGGATGATTTGGGTATTGACTATGAAAATACAAGGCTTCACCTTGAGTGGGTAATTCAAATCTGAGATGGCTGATAAAGATAATAAAGGATTGTTTTACACTTGTGAAAAGGGGTGAAGTGACAGCAAGAAGTACAAATGCAGGGAGAATATTGACGGCAAGTGTTTTTGAGGAGGTTAGCAGAACAAAGAACAGAAGGACAGGGTGCTTTAAAATATGGCAGAATGTAAACATGTCATGAGGAAACAAGTGGTTTGAGTGCAAAATCCAGAACACTGTATGAAAAGGTTGACAACTTTTCAGAGGAAGAAGAAAGTTCATTCTTTTCATTTTTGAACACTGCATTTGTTTTAGGAGTAGGAAAAAACAAATGTCCTTTGTCCAACAGACTTTTCTTTTGAAGTGAAATTTGAAAATTAATTTTTTTCAAATTTAGAAATCTAAAGCAAGGTATACAAACATTTTTAAATGTTAAGCTGGAAAGAGGAGGGGTTTGATTTGACTAATACATATTTAATATTTTGTGCTCTATTGTCCAGCTGCTTCCATGTACAGGAGTTTTTTTGAGCCCAAAGATATTCTGATTTATAAATATTGTTTGGCTAAGAAATGTGGTGAACTTCCTTTTAGGCCAATGGAAATGACTACAGAAGACTTTGGGAAGCTGTGGTTGTCCCTTTCTAATGATGTGAAACAGAACATAAAAATGTCACCTTGCCAAGATTCCCTTTCAGCAGCCCTGGACACACTGCAACAGAAGCTGAAACTCCACAGAGTTGATGTTATAGGTAAGTGAAAGTACACTGTGGGGATGCTCACAGGATAGTTTGTCCCAGGAAAGCAAGTGCATGGATGAAAAAATCTTGCAGGTTAAGGGAGGGAATGTTTGGGAGCATGGTAAACAAGGGATGGTGTCCCATGGGCTTTGTTTGCCTCACTCGGGGTCTGTGGGAGGGTGATGTAAAGGTACAAGTGTTCAGCAAAGAGTGGATTTTACAAAGGAGAAAACTTGCACTGTGAAGAGTTTTGGGTAGGGCAAAGAGGGAATGAAGCTGGGATTTTGGCATGATTTGTGGTGATGTGTTCCATGAGTTAGAAGTAAACAGCAGACATGGAGTGTGGCAGATGCATTTTCTGTCAAGTGTGCTACAGCAGTTGTTGCTTGCTAACTGTTACTGCCTTCTTCTTACTTACCTCTGTCAGGTAATGAGGGAATCCTGGCCTGCCAGCTCCTCCCATCTGTGCCCTGCCTGCTGCACTGCCGTACCCACTCAGGGATGCTGGCCCTGTGGTTCAGGTCCCCTTGTGCTGCTCTTCCTGATGGATTGCTCTATCAGTGTCAGAAGGTGATGGAGGAATCCTGAGAACAATAGTGCCTGCCTTAATCTATTTGGTGTGTGAAAGCAAGTCAAAGATTTATACAGTTGCACAGATAATTACCAAAGCTAAACTAAGATATTGCTTCTTCAAGTATTAAAAGTTTTCTTCCAGCTGGCAATGTCCAAGTGGACTTGTGGGGGAAAAATGGTGACCTAAATTACCCCTGCAAAAACATGCTCAGGACTGTACAGTACATTTAAGTATTGTTACCTGTGTAAGTGAAATGTATATTAATTTTGTTGTAAATGACTGAAAGTATTTATTTTTATTACACAGCTTTTATAGATGCCAACACTTATTCTTCATGGCAACTACTTAAATATGATTTTGAAGAAAACATATTTCCATTATGAGGTCAGACTTGATCAGTTATTTAATTTTATTTTGATAATTTTTCTAAAGCTATTTTTAAGCACTGCTGGCAACAAGACCCATATTGGTGGTTATATAAAGTAACTTATGTAGCAGCAAATGCATGGTTTTAAAACAGTTAAAAGATTCTAGGGAGGAAAACACTTCCCATGATCTTTGATGTTTACCATGGAAGGGATAATATCTAAATAGGTTTTTGATAGAAGTCAGGCATGTGAAATTGTTTGGAAGCACCTCCTGGGGGATTAGCTAAAGCCCTTCAGGTTAGTTCCTGTCTGCAGTTCTTCCTGCCCCAGATTTCAGTCTCATTCCCTTTCCACGGGGGTCTGTGACAGTCACTGATTGTCTGTGCATGTCTGAGCTGAGGTTCTATGTGGATCAGCTCTGAGATGACTGAGCTGGGGGCACTTGGCTGTGCACATGTTGACTCCTTGATTTTGGTTAGTGAACATGTTTATTGCTTTCCAGCCCACCCTATAAATTTGATCTGGCCAGAATCCCTGTGCATGAAAATTCACAAGGGGAAAGCTTCCATTTATTTTTACTTGTAATTATTTCTAGCCTGGGTATGACTCATCAAAGGTCTGAGTTGCAGGGATGTGGCTGTGCTGTGTGTGCATGCCTGGGAACTGCAGCAGGGCATGGGGGATTAAATCACAGCAGCAAATGTGGAAAATGTGTCTGAGCAGATTGTCTCCTGTTCCTGAAGTAACCTCACAATCTTGAAAATCCAGCAATCTGAATTTACTTAGATGCTAAATGAAAAATAGTGCTGGTTAGTGTTATTTATAGCTGGTCATGTTTTCTATTTAAGCATCCAAGATTGTACACACAGTTCAGACATGGTACAAAGGGATTCTGTGGTAGGGTTCTGTACTTTGTGTGTTTAATAGTAACAAGGAACCTCTCATGTGTCAGCATTACTGATTCTCACCTGATAAGCACTGGTTGTAAAGGGAAACAAAGTATTCTTTTACTTTGATGTTTTGGTGAACGTTCATGAGATTATTGTAAGAATGTGCTGATAGCATTTTTTCTTTTAAGTCAAGCTACTTGTGTTATCACAAGTATAATCATCCAAGCAAATTCCTTTTTTGTTGTTGTTTCAGTACCCTCTTACTGAGGAATTTAAAGTGCACTGAACCTGTAAATATATTTAATGTTCTGCATACTAAAATGTTTACTTGGCACTTCAAGACAGTTTATATAAATGAAAACTGATTTATAGTGGAATAATTTCCAGCAGATGATTGCCCTGCTGGTAAATCAGACTTGTGTTATGCAATTGGACTTCTGTGATTATAGGAACTCTGATACAAATATCTGTTTGTGGCCTATGCATTTAAACCATTTCAGCAAGGAGATGTTCAATGTCCTGGTGTTTAAAGAACTGCAAAGACAACAATGCCTTCTGTTGTTAATTAATGTTCTCTGTAACCTTTCTCACTGTATGGATAGTGTATGTTAAGGTGTCAGTATTCTGATTCTAATTGCTTTATGGTATCATCACTTAAAGGAGTGTGCAGGGAATTGTACCTGTGTCAGTCATTTTTGGATTGCCCAACAAATACTGATCTGAATCTATCACCATATTTGCATTTCTTGCAGTTTAATAAAATTCAGTTTTATTTAAAAAAAGTTTGATACTTGTTAAGTGTTCTTTTCCATCACATGTAGCAGTGTTTCCATATATTAAGAACTAGTTTCTATTTTAATTGTTTCTCTTTGCATCTGAACAGTGAAACATCACAGATGAACCTGTTTTCCAGGAAGGGAGAGACGGTGCAGAGAAGCAGGTTAGGAGGAAGAGAGCACATAACCAGTTTGCATGAAGGAGCTGGCTCAAGAGGCACCCAGAGGCCAGTCAGTCTGTACTGGCCATACTGGACTGGCAGGGACTGGACCAAACCTCGAAGTACCAGGAGGCCTCACTGCTGCACTGCTGTGTGCCCTGTGAGTTCTGGACATGGGAGTGGGAGTCAGCAGCAAAGTGATTGTATTGGTTCCTTATTTCAACTGTTTGTCAGCTTCTACCACCTTGCCCCAACTATTTTCAGGTATTTTTACTGAAAGAAACAGGTAGGAAACTGGAGGAAGTGCAACATGGCAGTTTGAGGCAGGATGTTTTCTTAGATACAGACTAAATCTGTTGGATTTTATTACTTTCTGCTAAGTATTCCAAATCCTCCTCATTCTGTAAGGACCCAAAAGAGTAAATTTGTGTAATGGATGGCAGGACCTTGAGGTTTTCCTGTATTTGCAAGTAGCTCATAAATGACATTGATGGTTTCTAAATATTGGAAAAGTGTTTCTCTCTTTTGTAGAGTCCCACAGCATAAAAAGCTCTATTATCTTTTTCTGTATGGGTAAGACTGTGTGTGGTCTTTTTCTGGCACTGATTTATGTAAAAACAAAAATAGACTTTATAAGTTATCCAGTTAAAACTTGGTTTTTGCATTTCTGTTGCTGTGGTGAAACTTAATTTTGCTTTACTGCTTGATTCTCTTCAGGGCCTGTCTCAAAATATTTCTCTAGCACAAATCAGATCACATGTTCAGTCTGATGTGCAGCTCTGTGGCACAGGCACCATTTCATTAGCATGTCAGAAGTGGTCACTCCCATGAGAGTTTGTTAAACATTAGCATTCTTGTCTTTATATAATAAAGTTGGCAGTGATGAAGCAAAGAATATTGTGTCCTGCCATGATATGATTCATAAAATTACCCTGACAGAAATGTTTTACCAGCAGGAAGGCTCAAAGCACCACTTAAGAAGATTGCTTTAAACTTTGATTTTAAGGTAGTTGTCAGTTTTCTCTTTGTGCCAGCATTTCACTGCTTTCAGTATAATTGCCATGTGAGCTGTTTGCAAATCCTGAGCTCCTTCAGCCGAAACAGTTCGCCTTTGCTGGGAATAAGGACAGGAGAAGAAATGTTTCCTGTTGAAATGTTCTGGTAGGTTCCAGCACCTCCATGTTTAGGACAGGGCTGTCAGGAATATGTCTTTTATCTGCTTTAAATCACATCAAGCTAAACTGGACTGAGTATTTAATGGGTAATTTGCAAGAAGGTCCTTGGAAGAGTGAGATTTTGGCTTGTGGTACCTGCTCTTTTGCTGCTCTTTGTGCTTGTGATGCAATAGAGGTGGTAGGATAAACAAATCCAAAGGAAACAAAAAGGGCAGTAATCACACATTTTTAATCCACAAATGTGATAATACATAATATATTTAAGGTGACCTGAACATTGCCCATATTTTAGCAATGTTTTTACATACCAAGCTACAAGTACAAAAGTAAACAATGAATATACAGGATATGCAAGTATGAGAAATACTTGAAAACATATCTTTCCTTAAGGCTACTCAGATTATTTTTAAATAAAACAACAGATGTTCAGCTGGTGTGTTTAAAATACCAGAATCTGAATATTGATACTCGAAACACACAAAAAGTCACAAATACAGGATATCCCTTTCCTTTAGACATCTTGAATGTTGAATAATCTTTTTCTGGCCTTAAAAGAAGAACTTAAATTTGTTTGCCACAAATGAAACACACAAAATCTGACATGTGCACTGGGACAGGAGCATTGGATACAAGAAATACAATTCAAAAGCATCAGTTGACAAGTACATGCCTGGAAGAAATGCAGGTAATGATGCATGTAAGTATGGCTCTGCAATGGCTGAACCCCAAATGTTGCTGTTTCACTTCTGTGTTGCAAAGGAGTTGTCCATCTTCATTGCAACTAAATCTATTTTTAATGCTTAAAGGAAATATGGGGGGGAATTTACACCATTAAAAACTGTTCTGCCAATGTCTTTCATTTTTACTGTGCTTCAGATGAGTTCTCCTGGGAACAAGTAAAAATCCATCTAGGACAACCCAAGTGAGTATATGACCTGGGTGTGTGTATTCTCAACTGTATAAAGGTATGACAGTTAAAACTTGTTGCAAGAGATAAAATATAGTTATTCTGGGGTGAGGAAAGACAGAAGGATAATAAGAATTTTGAACAGTTTTCTCTTAATACCATAGTATTCAAGAATTTATTTAAATGAGAAACGTTGGTTTTTTTTTTCTTGTAATAAATTAATGAGTGATCAACCTGTAAGTTTCCCTTAGAGAGAAATGGCTTTCAAATATATTTTCTTGTCTTTGTCAACTTTCAGATACATGCATCTCTCTATCATAGTATACATGATATGGAAGGTATTACCCCCAAATGATGGCACTCTCTGCTCTCTGTGTCAGCTGAAAGGAGAGGGCTCCTGACTCTGCAGTGCCAGGAGACAGAGATGAGTCTGGAGGATAAGATGGAGAGGGGAGGTTTCTGAACATGTGTTTTTCACTCTGGATCAGTCTCCACCTACCCAGGTTCTGCAGGTGGCAGCCAGAGCATCCACTCTGCTCCCACACTCCCTGTGTCCAACCATGCCTGCACAAAACCCACTCTTTCTTGGCAAAATGCTTTCAGTTTGAAGACATCACTATATGTTGTTTCAAAAAAACCCTAGAAAATTCACTGAAACCACTCTGAACAAAAACTCACTCCAGGAACTCACCAGAGTCACTAAGGCTGTTCTGACAACTGTGGATATGCTACACTTGGAGGCACTGCACAAATAGTGGATGGGGTTCCTTTGTATCCCACCTCTGGTTTACTGTAGGCACAAATGTCATGGGTACATTAAACCAAGAGTATTATCTAGGCTGAATATTTTGAGGCTCAGGGCTGTAAATGTTGGTGTCTCAGGTGTGCTGCTCCTCATAAGGGCAATTTCAAAATCTTCACACAGTATTTTGTTCTGCCAGGCAGAACAGTAAGAGCAGCACAACCTTCAGTCTGAACTCACCTGCTGTTACCCAATAGACAAGCCCTGAGAGCAGGGGAATGCTGTACTACTTTAACTGCCTTTGAGTTTGAACCACTGAACTGCTTTTCAAATTAAAATGAAACCTCCTCTCTGTTGTTAGCAGGTATAAAACTAAATTGATGAAACTTGCTTCACAGAGCAGTTCTTTAGATTTTCTCCCGCTTGTATGATTTGTTACTCTCATATTAAATTTATAGACCATGTAAAATCAGAGTTGTTTTCTCATATTGATTCCTGATCCTTTTGAAAGGAGTGAACTTAATCCATTACAGCCCTACTTTCTGTCAAAGCCTTTTCAGTTAGCGTGGAAATAATAAAAATATATGCACCAAGGGCCTTGGGGGTGAATTCCATGTATTGCTCTTGCCTTCATCTGTCTATTTTTACATAGCCATGCATCTGAGTTTACTTTCTGTTCACATGTTCAGCCTTGAACACAAAGCTAGCAAGATCATGGTGAATAGCAATCTGTGTCTGAACAATACATATCAGCAGCCTTGTTCACTCTGCTCCTTGAAAGAGACTGAATTATCTGAACAAAGCATTAAAATTGACAGCTTTCTCATTTAAGTTTTCCACTTCACCACGAGCCTGGTGAGCACCTTCTGGGCCCTGCAGGGGACTGTAGTAAGACTGAGGGGAAGGAAGCTTGCTTGCCTACCATGGCTTAGGAAGGGTGGCCAGTTCTAGAGAGAAGTTTTTGGTCGGTTTCTTGCCTTGGAGCGCGGTTTCAAAGAACCTTCTCGTCGAGCAGTTTGTTGATGCCGTTGCAGATCTTTTTGAGGTAGGGCCGGCAGTCCCCGTCCAGGCTGTAGAGGGCAGACAGGAACTCCACGTCCGCAAAGTGGTTGAAGACGTGGTTGATGCGGCCGTGGGAGCGCGCCGTCAGGTGCCGCCCCACGAGTTCGTGCACGAGCTCCTTGCACTCGTGCAGCAGTTCTGCCAGCACGTTCCTGTCAAAGGTGTACTCCACCTCGTAGAAGCTGACGATGGTCATGGCAGTTTGGTTCAGCTTCTTCCTGAACTTGTCCACGATCTCCAGCTCTTCCTGGTTGAACTGGTTGTTTCGGTAGAGGATCCCGATTTTTATGGCCACTTTGATCAGGTCTTTCATGATTTTATGGGCTTCCTTTTTGTTCCTGGTGTGCTCCTTTGTGACTTTGTACAGCTCGTCGAAGATTTCACTGCTTGTGTCGTCGATTAACATGTTAGCCATGGTTTTGGTTGCCATTTTACTCAGGATCTTTTTCTGGGCTTGCAGTGCAAGATTCTTGGAGCTGAAATAATCAGGACCTGGATGGGAAAGAAAAAAAGGGGAAATGTTAATTTTATTTGGTGAATTATTTTTGCAATCAGTTAAGAAAAGAAGTACCTGCATGCTTAAGTGAGACCTTGCACGTGTCAGTGACCAGAACAGTCACAACAGCAGGAACACTCCCAGCACACTATTGCCAGGTATCCCTGGGGTTCCACCCATGAAACATGGCTGTAAATATCTTTACACTCATGTTTCAGGTCTTGCAGCCACTTTGTTTTGATTGCAATAAAGAACAGAATATTCTGGCAGGGGATATATATGCTGATTCTGTGACAGTAATTTAATTTTTAGTTTAGTATGAAAGCTTTCTTGGCAGAGAAATCTGCTGAAATGTGGTGGTTGAAATAATACATGAAGTACCAGAGACAAGCAAAAAGATATAGTGACAAGCAATATATGAACCTTCAGAATTACACTCTGGTCATTGGGAGGCACTGTTGTTCCATGGTAAGGCTAAGCAGATTCACAAGAATGCATTTATTTTGCCTTAATCTGTAGTATCAATGCCTTGCCCTTTTGTTATCAATTTGAAAAATTGTAGAATATGACTTTTATAAAATATTGGTGCCTCAGTGTATGCAGTTCCTGACAGACAAAAATATCTGAACTATTTACATTTATCAAACAAATATTGTGGGTTTTGTCTTTTACTCATGTCTGTGCATTTCTCTCAGCAGAGCACCTGAACACATGGCTACTGCTGGGCTTTTTATCATGAACTGTAATTCTTGGTCAAGATTAATTTGACTTTCCTCTGTTCTTCACATTAATGTTGGTTTCTAACTGATCCTCTGTGGACAAAGCAAAGGAAATACGGCTATGAAATACTTGTCCAGGTTAATACTGGGGCAGCAGAGCCTCTGCTGGATCAAAGGGCACTTTATCACAGTAGGCAGGTGGTGAAGAGGGTGTGTATCTGGGGAGGACAGCCAGTGAGCCCTGAGTGATGGCAGAGTGGCCTCTTTGCTCCCAAACACCTTCCTTGCCTTTCCCTCTCATCTGTCCTCAGTCTGTGCTCCTGCAGAGGAGGTGTCCCTGTGTCCCTGCCAGCTGGGACCTCGCTCTGCTCTCCAGGACACCTGGCTGCTCCCAGGGGATGGAGGTAACCATGTCCTTCACCAGCTGCTGGGAAACCAAACCACTAAGAGATTAAAAATGACAATAAAAATCAAATCTGCCAGTATTTATTCGATTGTGGGGTCTGAGTGAGTCTTTAAGCTGGTGGGGTGAGCTCCAAGGCCCTTTTCAGCCTTCAGCACAGGAGTGCTGTCACTTCCCCTGTGCTCCTTACACCCTCGTGCCAGGAAAAAGGGGTGCTGGCTGCCAGCGCTCACTTGGATTTAAAGTCCTCTTTTTAATTCTGATTTTCAAGTTGGCTGAAATATTAAAGTTGTCATCTTTGTGTGCCACAGCTGTTAAAGAGTAACATTTAATTTCAACTGAACCACCACCTGGAAAAAATAATTCAATGTGCTTAAAAGAATTGCCTGTCATTTGGAGAGAAAATTGTGGGGCTGAGCTGCTGTCTGGAGGAAATAGGAAAAACTGTGATTTAATCTAGAAATGATAAAAGCAGGATGAAAGCATTCTTTCACTTAGCAGTACGTGGGCATATAAATAGTATCCGTGATGAGTAATTATGTGCATTTGACACACTGAAATGGGAGATTGTTAGTGTCTGTTTCTCTAGTGAGTGCTTGCTATTAATCAAGTGGATGTAGTTGATCAGCACCTGGTTTGATCAAAAACTGAAAAGAATTGCAGTAGATTTTTTGGATATTAATTTTACTGAAGTTCACGACACTTCAGCCTCGTGTCCCTTTGCCCAGGGCAGAGCCCAGATGAATCCTTTGTGCCTGGCCCTGCTGCAATTCTGTGCTCCAAGCAAAGCCAGCAGTTGGGGTGAGTGAAACATCCCATCCCATCCCCATCCCACGCCCTGGGGGAGTCTGGGACCAGCAGAGCCAGCAGCACCTTAAATACATGCAGCTTCCCTCCCTCCTGTGAGATCTCCGAGACAAAGCTGGACTTTAAATTAACACATAAAAGCTTCTAATGAACTTTTCAGAAGGGACAGTTTTCTGGCACAGAAAATAAAGTGTGATATATGTTTGTGTGTCCAAATTTCTGTCTCTTATCCACAAAACTGGGCAGTGTGACCTTTAAACATGAGTCTCTTTCCCAGGACACCCTTGGGTCTGGTAGCTCAGACAATGATACCACAGGTCCCAGTGAAAGGTGCAGGCTGTGGAAAGCACAGCACAGCTGGAATCCATCAGGCCAAGTTTAACTCAGTGTTAAGGCTGGAATGCTTTTCCACAGTGAGCCCCAAGTGTGGGATCTACTATTTAATAGCATGAGACTGAGCTCCTCCTCATCTTTCTAAAAGTAAAATAAAGAAATG